ACGCGCAGAGTGCACTGTGTACTTCACACTCGGGAGCCAGATTATTGACCTGTGAAGTGTGGCTTGAGTCGCTTGTTGTTTCAAGTTGAAAGAAACATACCGGCTGCCCTGGTCCCTGGGCAGTAGCTCGTACAGTAATCAGGTCTTGTGTGATTTTTTCAAATAAATATATTGATCTGTCGTGTTACTCTAGCAACAACCTCAGGAAATAACGGAGGTGAAAGGGGGCAAACACAGCTACAGGCAATGAATCAAAACACGAGAAACACTTACCATGGACGCGATGCGTTCTCGTGCAGTCTTGCGTGACCGCGTCGACCTAGAATTGATGGATGGCGCCTGAGTCGGCATTCTCCGAGTGGGTTGCAACGAGTTATCCGGCTTGAATCCGCGCCCATCCGGATTGAACGGATTGGCGACCCATCAGGCCGGATCGGATTCTATCCGGATAGAATCCGAATCCGCGGCAACACTACTCCCAGGCTGTCGCCAGATAGAGTCGGTCTGCCTCCGACGAAACTCAGCGGCGGGCTGACAAGTGTTGCCAGTTATTTTTGTATTTGCGAGGAGAAAAAAGATGCAGTAAATAATGCAGCGTTTTCTGGCCCACTTTGATGCGCATCACCTTCATGCGGTTGGAGCGCCTACAGGGACCCACAGAAGGTAAACACAGCCTCAAAAGAAATATCACGTGAGCGTTCATGTCCAACACGCGACGGCGAGCGTGGCCTTCCCGGCGGCCACCGCGGCGAGCTCACCCTCGCGCTTTCTATCCCCCACGACGACAACGAGATACCCCGACACGACGCAGACATGACCCCCAAACCATCCTGGCAGACTCACGAGCTCGGGGAGGAATGGATCGACGAAGACGACGAACAATCCGACCAGCTGCTTCCAACCACTGCGTCGCGCGACGCGCACACTACTTCCGACATTTCCTTCACCGAACCACTCATGTCTATGATTGTCAATGAGGATGCGAACAACGGCTGCCGTTCACGCTCGTCTTCTAGTGCTGGCACCGTCGTTGTTCACTCCGATGAGGAGGATGTACCCATACTTCCCCAAACTCCGGGACGCGCGAAGAAGATCATGTCCAACGACTTGTTCAGCCCCCTTGCTCTGGAGAAGATGTTTGAGCCCCCATCACCGCCCTCAGCAGGCCCGCCCCCACCACTCCCCGTTCGTACTTCGGCACCCGCAGTACCATCACGTCTCTCGCAGATGTACATCCCCGGAGAAACTGACTCCAGCGCAGAACTAGACGAGGCCACAGGCTCCTCACACGATAATCTACATACTCAGCAATCCTCAGAGCATAGCGAGACTGAAGGGGGGACAAAGTACCTGTTCACATTCGCCGCACCAAAATCAGGCATGTCCCTTACCCCGAATCGACTACCTAATGCGCAGAGTACATCCCTATTCCCCCAAACCCCCGTGCCAAGTGCCAGCAGCAGGCTGCATACGCCGCTCACCGACCCGCGTTTGCGCCTATTTCAGTTCCAGTATGACACTTTCACGCGCGAACACCTTTCTGCCATGGTGGACTCGATAGCAGTTAACATGACCACCTCTGGCGGAAGCGGCATCTCGGCATCCAAGGATAGCACCCCTGCAGGCTCTTCTCATCACGAACACAGTTCGTCTCGTCTTCGGAGCGCAAAACGGCTCAAGCTCAGTCCTGCGAGCGACTTTTCGCCACAGGGCGACGGTGCGGCGCTTATTTTTCGCCCTCCAAACTGGAGAGATTACGTCGCAGAGTCAAATTGTCTCATGGAGAAGATCAGGCAGGCGCGGGATTTCTCGACGATCTCTACCCAGGGTATAACCGCGACGCATGCCAGTGGCCAGAAGAGCCCGTCGGGCATAGCGCAGCACAATGCAGATCGTTCGTGTAGTTTAACCCTGCGCACACGCTATTCGCTTATACATTTACGCAGATGATTCGCCTTTCCCTGTCATGTTCAACTCCCACGTTCCAAGCGAAGAGTTCCCTCCCTGGACAGCTACATCAAGCCAACACGCAGGCTACTCGTCCCTTGCGATACGAGAACAGGCTTCAAATCTTATGAATCAGATTAGGAGCGACGTAAAGAGCCACAGAAGGCTGTATTCGGTTGACTCTGAAGGGTCTATGGTGCGAAATGAGACATCGTTCGCGCAGACCGCAGCACAGTACAGGCCAGAACAGGAACCTATCGCGGAAGGCGACACTGAGATCATCTCCGAGGTCGGAAATGAGTCCGAAGCCATGGGCCGACCACTTCCCTCTCTGTTGGCAACGATGGCTTCGAGCCAGTCGACTGCGCATCCGGCTCCACGAGACGAAATCGACCGGCAGTTGTCAGAGGACCTTGCGCAGGTCTCGTTGAATGGCGATAGAGTGTTACCCCAAATCGTGGAGCACCCTGCCAGCTCGCCAAACCCTGCCTCGACCCTCGCTGTCGGCCCCGATCCTCCTGCAGGAAATAGGCAGACCTTACTTTCCCCACTGGCGGCCGTAACTGGGCCAAACTATCCAGTCGGTACGCTCCACTCGGGGCGTAAAGAGGACCTCACACGGTTTGTGTCCTCGAGTACGACCTCTGGTGGGACGATTACCTCGGGCAGCGCCTTATCTTTTGTGAAGCATCAGGGTCCACGGCACATGACGCACATTTCGCCCGACGATCTCCCACCGCTGCCTGATCGCGTCGGGAAGATGGTTTTCGACCGGCAGATCATGAAGTGGGTGAAGGCGACGGCGCAGGGCCCGCCACCGACTGGGTTATTGAGGAGAGACGGGTCTAATGAGAGTTTGGATCCCTTTCGCGACTTCGAAAGTATACGTGACGACTCGCCCCCGCTGCCGGAAGCGCAGGGGCATGAAGAACAAGAGGAAGTTGACATGTCGCTTGATGCCAGCCGCGTTGAGCAGGCACGTGACTCTGAGCCCGAAGACGCAGAAGAAGCGGAACTCATGTCATTTTCCTTCGACGCGTCTGCCGAGCCCCTTGCAGTGCAAGCTGTCGAAGCGCCAAACTCACAAGACTCGTCGGACGGCGTCGCGTCGACAGAGACATCTGGACAGTTTCCGTCAGCCAATCTCGCAGACTCGTTCGACGCGCCGCACACGGCCGTGCAGGATCTGCAGCAGGAGCCGGCGCTGGAAGACACGCCGCCGCACCAGCTCGCGACACACACCGCGGAGAGGGCCGCCGCGACCCCGCAGTCCGCTGCGCATGCCACCAACGTGCAGGGCAGCAGCAGCAGCAGCAGCAGCAGCAGCATCAACCCGGCTCCCACGCCGCTGCGATCTGCGCTGAAGAGCACGAGCGCGACTCCAGTCTCGGCGATGAGAAACCCCGGCCGGGGCCGCCTCGAGACCCCTGCGCCGCGAATAAGCCACCGCCGGTCTGTGAGCTTTTCTGACGGGAGGCGAGAGGGTCCCATCGCGGGCCTCGGGCGCAACCAACCTACACCGACGCCCGATGGCAGCATCCTCGACGACAGCGCCTTTGACGCGGAGTTTGCAGAGTTCGCAGAGCCTGACAGCGGGGCCCCCAGCACCAGCACTGCGCTTGTGCCGTCCACGCGGTCGAAGCGCATCGCGGAGATGCTAGAAGGCCTCGAGGAGACATGTGAGTCGCCGATTCGGGGACCCCAGTTCGTCCGTTTCTGATTCATTGCGTCCCCGCTCGTTCGTGTCCTCTCTCCAGCGTACGATCACGACAGCCCGTCAAAGGCACAGGCGGCGAGTTCCGCGAGCCGCATCGTGGACGAGCTGCAGCCGCTCGGGGCCCGGCGACCGAGCGGGGGTGGGCGGTCTACCAACCGGGAGATCGCGCGGCGGAGCACGCCAGGGTCTGGCACGAACTCTGCGCGGGCACGGCGGAACGGGACGTTCCTGACCGAGTGCTCGTTCGGCGTCGCGCACGACCGGCTCGTGACGGTCATCACGGACGTGCAGCCGTTCGAGCCGTACTGGGAGCAGCTGACGAGCATCGACCTGAACGGCCGCGGCCTCGACAGCGTGGCGCGCCTCAAGGAGTTCCTGCCCAGGCTCGACTCGCTCTCGCTGTGAGTCTAATTGCTGCTTTGCCACCTACGTCGCCCCTGCCCCGGGCAATCGCCGCCACCCGCCGGCAAGCTCTGACAGGCCGCTAATTGTTTTTTCTTTGCAGAAACAACAACCAAATCTCGTGGTTGAGTGGCGTGCCGGGCACCGTGCGGACGCTGTCAGTCGCCTCGAACTGGTATGTCGCCATTTTTCATTTGGCCTGATTAGAAAGTGCGCTGACCAATTCAACCATGCTTCTTTGTATTCTACTTTACATCTCCACTCCACCTGCCCTGGCACGCAGCCTGACCGCGGTCACGTCATTCAGCCATCTGTGCAACCTGGAGAGCCTCGACATCAGTCGCAACAACGTGGACTCGCTCCGCCGTAAGTTCATGTGTTTGCTCTTCTCACTCTTCGCGGTGATACTGGGAGTCTTGTGGCACTGACAGTCGCCTGGGTTACGGCACAATATGGCTAGAACTGGAATGCCTCCGGCACCTACGCGAGCTGCGTGCAGATGGCAACACGGTCCACAGCCTCGATGGCCTGCAGAAGATGGACGGGCTCGTAAAGCTTAGCCTTCAGGGGAACGCGCTCCAGGGCACGCTCGACCTGACGAGCTTCCGGTGGTGCGTGCCTGTGTGTTTCTGTCGTAGGGATTCTCTTTTCTGTGTGCTCATGGGAGGAATGCCCTTTGCGGTGCCAATTGGCGATTGGGGCTGACAGGACTCGCCTGGAGATGCTGAACCTGAGCCAGAACAGGCTTAGCGGGCTCGTGGGACTGTCGTCCATGCCCGCTCTGATAGCGCTCAACTTGGGTAAGTCGTTCCCGTGCCTGCGTCACAGCTTCTGATCACAAGGATCTGTGCGGATGCCACGCCCCGGCGCCTCCGCCTTAATTGAGGAGCCCCGTTTTGGCGGGTGACGTCCCGTCCATCTGTTGGACGAGCTCCGCGCGAGAAAAGAGAGACGGTGTGCTGATGCGAGGCTCTGTGCGGGGTCATTTGCATTTGCAGACAACAACGTCCTCACCGAGCTCGTCGCGGAGGGCGCGATGCCCCGACTGAGAATCCTCCGGGCGAGCGGCAATCGGCTGCACGAGCTGAACGCAGCGCCGTTCGCGAACCTTCGCACACTCTACGCGGACAGCAATGCGCTAGGTCCGATACACAAGGCACACCGGCTCACCAAACTGGAAAACCTCAGCCTGCGGAACCAGGGCGGGCGGAACGGACTGTGAGTTTCCCCCTTGCACTGCTCTATCCCCGGTGATCGTCTGCTGCCTTGTTCAAGCGGTGCGCACAGCATCGTGCCTGGCTTGCATATCGATGCTGAGGGCCACCCAAACTGCGCGTACCCCCAGCAGCGGCGACCATGATGCCATTCGCGAGCGTAACGCTGACGTCTCTCTCCCTCTTCGTCTAGTCCATTGTCGCTGTTGTACGACGTCCGCGACGCGAGGCGTCTCTATCTCTCCGGTGTGTGCACGCGCATCATCCTCGGCCGCCGCGACACACACCCTCATTGCTGACCACGCCCGTCCCCGCCAGGCAACCCGCTCAAGGCCAGCTGGATCTCGCAGCCGTGCTACAACCTCGTCTACCTCGAGCTCGCGGCGTGCCGGCTCACGCGCCTGCCCGCGGACCTCGCGCGGCTGGCGCCGAACGTGCGGAACCTGAACCTGAACTACAACTTCCTCGAGGACGTGCGGCCGCTCGAGGGCCTCGTCCGCCTCCGCCGGCTCACGCTCATCGGCTCGCGTGTGCAACATACGAAGCAGCTCGTGCGCGTCCTCCGCGGCATGCTCGACGTCGAGATGCTCGATTTCAGGTACGCACCGTGCCTGTCCTCTTCCTTTTTGTCGAGTTGTCCCGAGAGCAGGGGGCGCGTTGCTTCCCGTGAGGGGGTCGCAGGACGAGGGCTTCGCTGTGGTGTCGCGGGGAGCAGGTGCCTGTCCGTACGGCCGAACTCTATCTGCGCCGCCCCGGGCCCTTGTTCTCCATCGCGGCCCTCCCTTGTCACTGCGCCGCTCCTTCCCTTTCTCTCGCCCTCCTCTCTCGACTACTCGCTTCCATGCTTAAACGTCACGGACGAATGCTGATGCAGAAACGCCGGCGCAGGATGAACCCGTGCACGCTCGGCTACTACCTGCCGCTCCTCGTGCGCGACATCCCCGGCGCGCTCCAGCCCTCGGACGGCGACCGTGATCCTGGGCCCGCTTCGTCCTTCGCAGGCGCAGGCGCGGGCGCACCGGCAGCGCGGCGGGCACAGGGCGACGCACCGCGCGCGCGGGGCGCCGTGGTGGTGGTGGCGGCGGCGGCGGCGGACACGTCGGTGAGCGTGATGCCGAGCCTGGGGAACGCGCTGCCGTACTCACCGGGCAAGCGGAGGCGGAGCTCGTCGCCGATGCCTGCGACCAGCCCGAGTCGCGATCGCGAGCGGGAGAGGGAGAGGGAGAGGGAGGGCAAGGAGCGGGTGGGCGGGTGGAAGGAGCTCGACGCCAAGTTCCGGCGGGACCTGCCCGACGCGGCGTACGCGGCGCGGCTGGCGTACCGCGGGCTCGTGATGCGCGCGTGCCCGGCCGTGCGCGTGCTCGACGGCGTCGAGGTCACGGACAAGGAGCGCGACAAGGCCGAGTGCCTCCTCCGGAGCGTGTTGGACGGGCGGCGGCGGAGCGCGTGACGCGGGGCGCGGCATGGGGGAGGTTGGAATGGGCCATGGAAGGACGAGAAGTCGAGATGCGCGCGGGGCGCGAACGTGGCAGGCCAGGCACGCCGTCGCGTCGACGACGCGAAAAGGTTCTGTCGCGCGTTGTGGGGAACGGCCCCCCTGGGCTGTTGCGACGTTGAACGTCTGTGTGACCTTCTCGTCTTCTTTGCTAGTACATCGTCTCGTCTTTTTCTGTGTTTTCGATTCTTGGAACGCGCAATGCAGCATCTTGGAACGTTTTCCAGTCTTTGCGGGCGGCGGCGGCGGCGGCGGCGGCGGCGTTCCCGGCATGCGCCCGCCCTTCCTGCGTCTGCGTTGTGCCTTTGCCGTCTGCGACGATCCGCGCCCCCGCTTCCCTTCCCCGCCTGTGCGCTGTCTCGGATCCCCTTTTCTGAACAGTACTGGCAGAACAGAGCCCCGGACGCGATGGTCCCTGGCGGTGCCCTCTGCAACATCCCCTCCCTTGGTCGATCTGTTCCCCCAGGCGGTTTACGCGGACGGTGCTCTATCTACCTCCAACCGACCATCTCACATGAGCACCGCGGGGGCTGTGCACCGCCATCGCAGCCAGTGGTCCGATCGCGGGCAGAAGAGGCAATTAAAAGAGGGGCGGGCGTGGCATCCGAACGAGCGCGGATCCTCCGCTCGGGCGGCTTGCTTAGCTAAGCGATCCGGTCTGACCGCCGCAAGCGAGTTTTTCTTTTTTGGCGTTCACAAGCGTTTTTTTTTTTTTTTTTTTTTTTTTTTGGCGTAATTCTAGAGTCGGGCGCGTCGCTGCGTTGGTGTCTGCCTGTCTGAGCTCCAAAAGATTGCGTCTCGCGGGCCAGTCACGCGCGGACGGAGTAAGACTGCCTTCTAGGGCGAGAACTCGCTGGGGATCTCGGGCCCAGCGTTACAGTGCAATGATGCACGATGACGGCACACGCAAAAGCAGACGTCCCTTGGCTGCTTGCTCTTTTTTTCGCTGGGAAAACTAGGAAAGGCTGGGAAGCCTGTTGTGCCAGAGGGATGAACATGGTGCCGTTTCTGTTCCCACTGCTAGCAGCGGAGAGGTGAGCTCGCAGATGTTTCTGTTGGAGGAGGAGGGAACCGAGCAGGGGGAGGGAGGCAGCCGAAAATCAGTCAAATCTTCTTCTCGTCTGTTCGGTGCTGCCAGACGGCGGGGCAGGGAGTTGCACAGAGCAGGCACGTCAGAACAGGCACGCGCGATGCAGAAGCAGCTCGATGCCGTACGAGGGAAGAAGGTAGCTTTGCATAATGAAGAGGGGGCTGTACATGGCGTATTATGAGTCGCTATGAGTGGCGGTGGAGAGCAGACGGCGATGACGACGAGTGCAGGGTCTCGTCGTTGCGAGGCAGACGCGTGCCGTCGCGACGGAGAGCGACAGGTGAGTACGAGCCCTGCACATCGCGAGCAGCACCGCTCTGCGGAGGAACAGACACGAGGAGGGGGCCGCTGGCTTGGGTGCGCCCCGATTGAGCGAGACAGAGACGGTTCTGCGAGGCTCGTCTGCTGTCGTTCGAGTGATGGAGATGCACGGATGAGGATCTCACTCTCTCCTGCCGCCGGTCCGGCGGATGTGCAGAGAAGGTGGATTGTGCGGACGTCGTGCTGGCGCCGCCCGAACCGGCTTGTCCACCGCGGAGACCACACCCAGTAACATCGCGGGAGCAGTGACCGCGTGGGCACGCGTGCTTCTGGGTGCCTGGGGCGACCGCAGGGAAAACAAAGGCCACAGACACGCAGCCCCTCAGCTCGGCGACAGTCAAAGCACTCGTCGCGTAAGCAGAAACCGTGTATGTTTCCAGGCGTGCGGACGACGACGGTAGCGTCTTTGTTTGCGCAAGGGACCACAGGGCTCAAAACAGGCCGCGGGCTTTCTGGAACGCGCGGCGGGCCCGGGCCCGCAGACGCAGACGCAGACTCGAGTAGGTCGCGCGATACGAGCGGCGGCGCACGGAGCACCGCCGGGCGAGGGTACAGCTGCGCACACAATGCGACCCTCCTCCGCCGCTGGCTTCCCATGTTGCTACCGTGCTGCGTCCGTCCCGCACGGCGCCCGCGGCGTCGGGGGCGCCGAATGCGGAAGGCGACGTGGTTGTGTTGCCTGACGACAGAAGACGGAGGATTGCCAGTGTCAACGCGAGCTGCCGCCGGCGTGGGTTTGACAATCAGCAGCAAGGGGGAGGCGGTGGCCCCCCCCCCCCCCCCCCCCCCCCAACAAACGTCTTTGCTGCCACATCGACAGCGAGCGACCGGCGCGAAGAAGAGGGAAAAAAAGAAATGCGTCCGAGAAACGCCATATCGGGGTGGTACGTGCCGTCGGAGATGCAAGCTGAGTTGTCCGACGGGGACTTATCGCCCGCCCGGAAATACGCGAAGGAGCAAAGCAAATAGATCCGAGGAGGGGAGGGTCCAGATCTGGGTGATAAATCTTGTGATTAATTGCGGCAGGGGCAACACCAGTGGCGCCCGACGCCTTGTTCGACTCGACGATGCGCTGCAGGTCCCAACGACGGACGGTTTGCACGCGCACAGCCCCTCGCTCGTCACTCGCACCAAAACGGTGATGCCCACGGGCGCGGACGGTGCGCCTGCCGTTCTCGGGAGACTGGCCGCGCTGGGGCCCGTGCTCGGGGCACGGAGCCCTGGGATGTGTGTGGATTGCAAGGTTCGGGAATTACAAACGTTGAGAAGTCGCCCAGTGGGAAGGTGCGCGCGGTCTGGACTGGAGAGCCAACAAGGGACATGATGCGGGTGATCTGGGACTGGGATTCCCCCCCTGCCAGATCCCTTGGTTGATTGCCAGCCAGAGAATGGGCCTCGTTGATTCGTTCCCACCGCACTCGCTCGCCTCCGGGGATGGAGTTTAATGGGGCCCTATAAGAGCATACCCAAGATCGAACACTAACCGGGCCATCCTGCTAGGACAGCTTTATCTGCGCCGCGGTGCGCATTCCGTCTTCGCTCACGTCCCTGCCTTCCTTTTCCTGCCTTCCTTGCCTCGCCATCGCTCTGACCGCCCTGCCCAGCCCTTTGCTTCTCCACATCGCGTCCGCCCTCCTTCCCGACGAGCTCCCCTTCATGATCGACACGCTCTCCGCGACGGACGGGCCCTTGAGCAGATACATCAGCGTTGCGCCGCTTCATTACGCTCTGTGAGTCCCGCTCTCCGCTCGCGCTTCCCATCACCATTTGCCTAGGCACGCCACCATCCCTGTCAGCTGTCACCCCCGATTTCGCGTGCGGTTGCCCGCAGACGAATAAAACCGCGGGTGACGGCTCGCGTGCAGGAGTCCCTCCCCAGCTTCGGATTCTTTTTCTCTTCGCTGCCCGGAAAAGGACATATTCTAACCTTGTTTCCGCGCCAGCACCCCAGACTCGAAGCCGGCGGGGATCGACTCGCTCTCGTTTGACGTGCACGGTCTCGGACTCCCCTCGCCAGCCCTCTTGTCAGTCTCCTGCCACCTCTCCTCCTCCCCCTCCTCGTCGCTGACAGCCATGTACAGGCACACCCCGCACTCGTCCGACGCGGAGACGGATTACAGCCACGAGCGGCGCATGTCCAGTTCCGCCGCGTCCGACTGCAGTCTCCACTCCCGCCCCGAAAAGCGTTCGTTTGACTACTCCCCCTCCGCCTCCCCCGTCCCCAAGAAGACGCGCTCCGAGCTCGCCGCAGAGCCCCACTCCTGGTCACCACAGCCCACCGCCACCACCACCACCCTCGCCACCGTCGACGACGACGCCCGCAGCGAGCTCAGCGGCAACAGCCCCCGGGTCCAGCTTCCCAGCATCGCGTCTGCCTTCCAGGACCGCCACGAGTTCCGTCGTGCTTCCCTGCCCTCGACGCTCCACGACTCGACGGGATCAAATCGCCTCCGGCTGCCCACCCCGACCTCGTCTCTCCACCGCAGCTCCCAGTCCCACTCGGGCCTCTCGTCGTACCAGTTCCCGTCGCCGTCGGACGCCGATCACGCCCACGAGGACACCCGTCGGCCCCGTCTCACCGCCGACACCCAGATCCCGCTCTATCCAGGGGACTATTCGGTCCCGAGCAGTGCCTTTTCGGGCTCATTTTCCGGCAACTCACCGCTCTCGGGCGCGACTTCCGTTTCTGACGAAAGTTGGGCGCCAGGCATCGTCCGCCCCGCCTCCACGCCGAACCGGGTCCACACAGCCGCCGGGTCTCCGAGCCTCAAGTACAGCGACGACCGCCAGGGCAGCGCACAGGCTCTCTACGGCGGCGTCACACGCATCGCCGGCCAGCATCACCACGCTTCCGCCCCCACCGACCGTCCGAGGCCGCTCGTCAAGACCGAAGGTGACTGGGCCGCGTTCGGCTCTTCCGACTACGCCTCCATGTCGTCTGTGAACGCCCCCAGCGGGCTCGTGAGTGCGGGCGCGCCCGCGATCAACGTCAACGGCTCGCCGACGCGCTCGCCCCAGCAGCAGCACCAGCAGCAGGCCCCGCCGCCGAGCCTCGTCGAGCGGCCGCCGCGCAAGCGGGGCAAGCTGCCCAAGCCTGTCACGGACTACCTCAAGGACTGGCTCCACCGCCACTCGGACCACCCGTATCCGAGCGAGGAGGAGAAGAAGGCGTTGTGCAACGCCACAGGCCTCAGCATGTCCCAGGTGTCCAACTGGATGATCAACGTGCGTCTCTCCCGTTTTCCCTATCTGTGATCCCTGATATTGACGTCGTCTGTTCTTTTTCCAGGCACGCCGCCGCATCCTCGCGCCCGCACGCGTGGCCGCAGGGCCGCAGACGAACCTCCCGTACGCGACGCCGGCGCGGCCGAGCCTGCTCGACGGCGGGCGCCGCGCGTCGATGCCCGCCGACGGGCTGACGCTCTACCACCCGATGTCGCTGCAGTCGCTGCCCGAGTACGCGCTCGGGAGCAGCACGCGGCACATGGTCGGCATGACGCGGAGCATGAGCAGCAGCCACGCCTCGGCGGGCGCGCTGGGCGCGTCGTCGGGCGGCGCGCAGCACCACCACCACCACCACCATCCGTACGCGCTCGACGCGAGCTACACGCGGCTGCCGTATGGCGCGGGCGGCGCGCTGCACCCGTCGGCGCACGTCGGCGGGACGGGCACGGGCGGCGGCGGCGGCGGACAGCAGAGCTACCTCGGCGTGCCGCTGAGCGCGCCCGCGAGCATGGGCGGCGGGAGCCCGTTTGGGAGCCAGAGCGCGATGTACCAGGGCAGCTACAGCCGCGTGTCGTCTGAGGGCGGCAACGGCGGCGCGGCGCAGGGGCACCAGCAGCAGCACCATCAACAGCACCAGCAGCAGCAGCAGCATCATCAGCAGCACCATCAGCAGCAGCACCAGCAGCAGTACGCGTTCCCCGATCACGGGCACTCGGTCTCGCCCCAGCCGGGGTCGGGATACACGACGCCGCACTAGTGCGCGTGTGTTGAACTCCCCGCACCCCCCTCCACACCTCCTCGGCGTGCTGCACGCCCTCCTCGAAACGGACCTCTCGTCATCGTCGCCATCGCCATCGCTCTCTCTCAGTTGGACACTAGACCCCCAAACGGACAATGACATGCGTTAATTCCCGCCCGCCCAAAGTACCCTACAAGCCACACCTAGTACCGCGCCGCCGCGTGCGCGGCGACCTTGCCCTCTCGCCCTCGCTGTCTCTCTTCCCCCCCCGCCCCTCTCTTTTTCTTTCGTCTCGCCTCGTGTAATAACCTCGCTCTCAACGGACTCTGGTGCTCCTTCTCTCGGTCGCAGTCACACTTTTTCTTTTTTCCTGCCTCGTTGTCGTCCTGCTCGCTGTCCCGTCGCTGCTATCTTTTCCTTTCTCTGTCGTGACTTTTTTTCTCTCTATTTCTGTGTGTTTTGATGTATACCTCGCCTGACGCACACCGGCGCGTGGGCCCGTCCTGCCCGCCGTTTTCGCGCGGCGCGGAGGAGTTGTAAATTACTGTAATCCGCCGGTTCCTCCCTTACTGTAATGATGCCATTGATAGATATATACCACCTGCCTGACTCTTACCCTTTTTGGCGGACTGCCGTGCGTGCGTGCGTGCGTGCGTTGCGATAGGTTCCGATGCCCTGGCAAAGAGCCCGCGTTGCGTTGCGGGAGCAGTTCGCGCCTGAGAAATCGAAGGTGGGGGGATGCTGCTGCTGCTGCTGCTGCGGCGCGTGGTGTGGCAAAACTGTACAGAGTGCTCGCAGAAGGCCCCAAGGAGGGGGATGCGCCGCATGTGCACGCATGAGAAGGCACGGCGGGCTGAGCTCTTCGCGTGATAGATCCTGCCAAGGGTTCGTGATGCCTTCCTGTGCAGGCGGTGCGCGCGCTCGGCGTGTCGTCGTCGTCGTCTCCTTCACTCAATACTTTCGCGGGAGGGCTGCTGGCATGTGCTCACGCGCGCTGGCACAGTGCGTCCCTTTTTTTTTTTTT